CACTCTTGATTTCGGCTCAGGTCATGATCACAGGGGTTGTGAGACAGAGCCCCAGGTCAGCTGGTCAGCTTGTGCTGGGCATAGAGCCTGCTTAAGATTCTCTCTCTCCCTCTGCCCTCCACCCCAAAAAGTTTGTCACTAGGTGCAGCCCACACTCAAGGGGAGGGCATCACACAAAGACAGGAGTATCAGGACAGGATCATTGGGGACCATCTCAGAGGCTATCTACCACATATATATTGTGATATATATAAGTAAATCAGCTGACTTACTTATTCCTATAATTTTATTTGGGATTTTCTGTTTATATCCTCTTCTCCTCTTCCCCTTGTCTCCTTCAACCCCCCCCACTTTCTCCTCATTGCTACATCTTGTTCCCTTCCCCCACCTCATTTTACCCTCCCCTCCCCCACCCTCCTTTGCCTTTTGCTTTAATAGTCCTCTTCCTCCTTCCTCTCTTTTCCCTCCCTTCTCTTCCTCCCCTGCCTCCTCTTTGCCATCCCATTCAGCTCTTCTTCTGAGGTAGTTCTTAGATGCTGGTTGGAGTCTGTCAGTTGGAGTTCCAAGTTTTTCAGCTCCTCTTTCATACATTTTATCTTCATCTCCTGCTGCAACATTCTGGATCACATTTCTGTACTACTTTCTAATTTGCTAATTTCTGCCTTACTGCCCTCAGTTTAGGGTTTGTCTTAACCATTTTATTTTTTTATTTTGGAGAAATTTACATTTATAATATTTACCTGTTTGGGGGTTTACCTGTTCCAGGTTTGTAATTCCTTCTTTTTAAACCAGGAGTTCATGTATCTTTTGATATCCTTTAACATTCACTTTTAAAATTCTTATCAATTGGAAATTTAAACACTGGCTGAATATTTGATGATGTTAAGGAATTAATTAATATGGAGGAGTATGCAATGGGACTATAGTTTGGTTTTGGAAAATAAACGTCCTTATATTTTAGAGAAATATATTGATGTACAGATGATCTGCTGTAAGAAATTTCAGGGTAGGGAGGGGGTGGGGAATATAGATGAAACAGGATTTCCTTTAGCTTATAAATTTTGAAGTTTAGTGATGGCTGTCTGACATTTTATTAAATTATTATGTCTTATGCTTAAATTTTTACATAATAAAAAGTTTTTAAAAATCCTTTGTCATGATGTCCCATAAAATTAATTTCATCAGGAGTGAATTCATATTCCAGTTGCTGATTTTTTTGGTAGCTTTTCTAAGCATCACATTTATTCACATATTTGGGATTTGTTTTGCAGGCCCGTTTTGAGTTTTCAAATCATTTTGATTTTTGTCTTATTTTGCTTTGCTTTCTCTCTCAATTTTGTTTCTCCCTGCCTAGTATTTTTCTAGTGGTCTACACCTGCCACCCAAATTCAGAGACAGGTGTTATTGTGGCCTTCTGAGGCCCCTCTCCATGATAGTACTACTGGTGCTGCAGAGCTGGGACCTGAGCAGGGCAGCTTGATTCATTTGTGGCCTGGGGCTGAGTGGACTGGAGCTTTGGCCTCTGGGCTGAACCTCAGCCCTTCAGGAATGTTTTACATCAGCTTCTTATTCTGGGGAGCCCTAGGTTCCGGGTGGCAAGCCCGACTCCAGTTCCCCTGCTCTGTAGAGCAGGCTTTGTTCCAGCTGCCTCTGCTGACTCCAGACCCAGAGCCCAGCAGGTCTGTGGCTCCAGCTTCACCTACTGTTTTACATTCCTATTCTGTTGGGCATTTTAATCTTGTTTTTGAACCTACCCATGTCTTTTTGCTCTCCTGTTCTTATATTTTATCTGTTCTTGCTATGTGTTTAGAGCTGGGAAGATGCATCAAAGTATGAACTCACTGTGCTCTCTTGACTGGAGGAAGTCCTTGACTAAATCACTGAAGATTCTTTTCATTCCCCATTCAGAGTATAATCCACCAAGTAGATCTTCATAATGGTGATATTTTGCCTTTGTATTGGAGACAGCATACTTTACTCAGTATTTTTTTCCCAGAAGACTGACTTGGTAATATCCTTAGAGAAAATAACAACCCGCTACCCCACAAGTTATTCTGCCCGTGGCCTCCCCAGCACACATCCCTCTCTAAAATTATCTTATTTTTCTACACACACATTTGTTTCTCCTACTGGGATCTAAGTTCCATGAGAACAGAAACTCTTTCTCATTTCCCTTTTGTATCTGCAACCCCTTTGCGATAGTGTCTGTCATATGGTAGGCACTCAATAATGTTCTGATAAATTACTGGATCAGTCACTGAAACCTGCCTGTGCCTCCTTAATTCCATGGTCATGCTGCGAGGTGCTGCTGCATGGCCTCTTGTGAGTGCTGGGAGGCACGTATTGGACCGTGGCAGCTATGCAGAGTGGCCAGTGTTGTCTGAGGCCCACCTTCCATTCATCATAATAGATCATAATTCATCAATGTCCTGGAGTCATTGCACCCAGCCGGGCATTGACAGCCAAGTGTTTGTATCACATTCATTTGCCACAACCCCTTTTCATGTGTTACCTCCTGTCCGTTGTTACTCACTGGATTTCATTATAAATCTCAGAGATGAACAGAGCAGGTAGGTGGTGCCTGTTAGTAGGTGAGGTGGAGGCAATGAGCCTGCCACCTTGCTGGCTTGCTGTGATGGAGGCTATGGCTTTGGGGATGTGCTGAGGCAAACCAGGCCTTCCTCTCACAGAACTTCCGTTGTGGTGGGTGAAACAGACTCCTAGCTCTCTAAACAGTTAATCACTTCCTTACTTGGCATTAGCTTAGTGGTGTTACAAATTGACATGGCTATAAAAGGAGACCTCCATATTCTTAGCATTTCTTCTTGTGTGTGAATAGTGTGGCCTGAGGCCTGTGGAAGTGTCAGTGTTTAGGGAGCTTTGCTTGGAGCCTTCGTTCTCCATCCCATTTCTGCAATAGATGTCCATGCTGGCACAGGCCCGGGAACCATGAGCTGACTGTTCCTGGAGCCACTGCCCAGAGGAAGCATCCTGATGTGTCAGCCTGAGGGAGGACATACAGACGCTTGGAAGAGCCTCCTCATCTACTGCCCCACTGGCCTCAAGTGAATGGCAGCAGAAGAGCCTCATGGCAGTTTTGCTTTCAGATGTCAGCTTTCCGGTTGGCTGAGACTCTTGGCCAGAAAATGGCAAGTCTGGAGCCCCAGGAGGTATTCCTGTACTGTCTGCTTCATTGTGTCAGACCAGCTTCTCCTCTGATTGTATCAGGGACCACTGATGGTTAGGGCCCAGATGGCTGCGGAGGGCCCAGCACAGATTAGCCATGCGCCCATTCCTGGGACACTGCCTCGGCATCATGCTTTGAAAAATCCTGTGAGAAATCCCCAGCATTCAGTATCACTGTTTGTATTTAGCTTTCCTGAAGTGTTGGCATTCCAAAGGCATTCCAGAAGCCTTCTTGGCATGTTTAGATATTCTGCAGCAGTCTCAGGAGCCAAGTTTCTGCTCTCTTCTCCATTCTGCAGGTAAGCAGACATGCCCAGGAAAAGGAGAGCAAATTGCTTAAGCTTATGGGCCAGTCAACCCAGGGGCCCAAGCCTTTCCCAGGGGCTGTCACCACTCTGCGCTTGGCTCCTCATCACTGGCCCCTGCTGGGCTTTATAAAGTTTTCATGTCAAGGCAGTAGCATTGCCGAGGAAATGGGCTTTCAGAACATTGATCCTTCTCCTGCTCAGTTTTTTTTGAACAGTTCAAACCCATGTGTTGACACCATAGTGTGGTTTGAAGGAAGCAGCTCAGGACTTGGAGTCACTGAGACTTACATTGTTGACTAGCTCTGTGCTCTTAGGGTCATGATAATTTAGTGACACAGGAGCCTGAAATGAGGCCCTTGCAGGGGGCAGACAGCAATCAGATGGCATTACTTCTCTGAGCCAGCCCTCTGGGGGTCTCAGATCCTGGGTGGGGGCAGGCCCTGGGTCCTTATCCCACAGAGGTCCTGAGAGGCTCCAGGGCCGTGGATGTCCCAGACAAGAGGACATGGCTGTGATGCAGATTTCCCTTGGTGATGCAACCTGCTGTGATCCCCACCCCCCCTTTTCTGCAGGGGTTTCCCTAACCTTGCACACAACCTGTGGGCAGGCACTTCTGCTGCAGGCTTGTCTATTGTACCTGAGTGAGCTGGAACAGTCACCGAGCTAGTTAAGGGTGGGGCAGTTTCAAGCCCAGGTGTGCTGGCTCCAGGTTGCTTGCCCTGGTTCGCCAAACAAGCCCCTTGGCCAAACTGTAACCTTGAGGGAGGGTCCTCAGCCACATGCACCAGCCAGTCTGTTCCCCTTCAGGTAGGTGAGGGAGCAGCCGTCCTCTCCAGCTCGAGGGTTCTGGGCTTCCGACACCGCTCACCTTTCGGATCCCTGACCCCTGGAGCAGGGAGTTTGCCTTGCCAGAAGAAGGGTATTCTAGCATCCCTGCCTCCGGGGGCTCATGTGTGAGTCAGTGGCACGGTCTGGTGCCAGGGGTGAGGACTCTGTGGCCAAGGAACAGCTCTGGTCCTTGTGGGCTGTGTGGCCGTGAGGACGTGCAGCTCTGCAGTCTGGCCCTGCACCTGTTGGGGTTCAAATCCCAGTTCCTCCCTCACAGCTGTGAGCCGGGACGGTTACATAGCCTCTCCATTTCTTCTCCTACAAGGACATCATAATAATCCTGTCTACCTTTTAGGGGTGTTGTGAGGTTCAAGTGAGAAAGTCTGTGGGAAGCACTTGGACCAGTACTTGGCACAATAGGGAGCACTTGGTAGACATCACCGGTCTTCTGTGAAATGACTCTAGCAGCTGTGCAGCTTGAGGTTCTCTGGTGAAGACTAAACACCTCACGGTACATACGTGGCCTGGCCTAACATAGGTTTGTGGCTCCTGGTCACTGCTGCTTGCATGGCCGATGTCTCTGTGAACAGAGCCCCCGCGCCCCCCCTCCCCCCGTTCCTCCCCACAGCTCAGCCCAGCTGCTGCTGGCTAATTCAAGCTTTGTTCTCTCTCCACGAGGCCAGGGAGCTGGAGAGCCGGGAGGCAGAGCTGAGCCGCCGTGACACCTTCTACAAGGAGCAGCTGGGGCGCCTTGAGAAGAAGGTAAGGCATGTGTCAGCTGCCTTTGGAACCAGAGTCCATCCTGGCTGTAGGGGAGAGAGGAGCCTGCACTCCCAGTTCCCCGTTCACCCCAGCAGCCGGCCCCCTGTGGACCTGCCCTCCTGTGTGTGGCAAGCACCACACCCTCGCCCTTTCCATAAATTGTATTCACAGAGATAATTGGTTTTTAATTTGCCCGCCTTTTGTGAATGCGGCTGGCTGTGCTATAGTTCAGTTTTAGAAAAAATTCACTTTCACCACAGGGCGGTGCTGAGACCTAGCCTACCTTTCTTACTTTAGTTAAGCTGCATTGGATAAAAATAATAATAACGTGAAGTCCTGCTGCACAAATATATTAAAGTTGTATTACTGATTTTCTTCCGGGAGTTGGGCAGATCAAAGTGCACCGTGGCTACACACTCCTTACTTTTCTAGGGATAAGCCTTTGAAATGAATGAGATTCAAAGATGTATCATTGTTACTTTTTTTTGTTAACACCCAAGACTCTTGAAAATTCATTTGGTAACTTGCTTACTTTTTGGGGGGGTGGTGGTTAATTTGTTGATCATGACAGATTTTTCAAAGAAATGGCTTAAACCGTGGAAGGAGATGGTTGGGAGGTTTAAAAATATTGTTCTTCCTCCTGCCTGAGACAGCATGCCAGGCAACCTGAACCATCAGCTTATTACAGGCAAATCTTCGAGAATCGTTTGTCATGGTTTTGGAGCTTTGAAATTGACAGTTTGCTTGAGGGGCTTGATTTCCATAGGGGTTTTCTCCTGTGGTATGGCACACTGGAGGCTGGCGGAAATGTGGATTTCTGGATTTCCAGGCTGTTGGGGACAAGAGGGATGCTCCCCCTCGCTCTGGGGATGCTCCTGTCTGCCTCCTGCCTGCCTCCTGCAGGATGTTTAGGGGACATCCAGAATTCTGATGTGAGCGCACAGCACCGCCGGTCCCAGCGTAGTCCTGAAGGCCAGTGGGACCCCCTGAGCCACTGACAGAGGAGGCCTTAACAAGGAGGGGTTTCCTGGAACGGCCTCCTGCCCAGGTTTGACTGTAGCTGTCATGCCAAGGATTATGATTTGAGACCCTGGAAAAGGGTAAAAACATTCCACCAGCCATAGCTCTAATTATCACGATTGCCCATATGTTCATAAGCGCAGATTTTTTTTGTGTGTGTTGTTATGTGTGCAATTCTGTGGTCTCCTGCTGCACTTCTCTTGCATTTCTTTCTTTGGGTTTGGCTCCTAGAAGCATGTGTGTATGTGTCTGCTTGGGGTGAAGGGCAGCAGCCTTCCAGCATTTTTCCTGTCTTGAATCTGTTTTCCCCTTGTCACTCTCCTTTGTCGTCCCTACTGTAATTCTCCCCCTTCAGCCCGGTTTTCTGCTTTGCTGAAGGAAAGGAAATTCTCCTGGATGAACCCTTCCTTCTCATCTGTTTTTCCCCACTCGCTTGTTTGCTCATCCTACAGGGAAGCCAAACTCCTTACATATGCAGATGTGGGCATATTTTTCTAAAATGAGGTTTTCCTACACGATTGTGAAGTTATTGAATGCTTCCAGAAGGAGGTGCAAAAACATGATCACCTGTCTAGCTCTGAAATACTAGCATTTTGCTGGTGATAATATACAAAAGGAAAGCACCTCCCAAATCCCAGGAACTAGAGATTGGTGAGGCAGACAGGGGTGGGGGTCATGGGGTAAAAGGGGCACTGGAGAGGGGGCGTAAAGAGGCACAGTTCTAAGGCTTAATTGCACCAGTCTTGAGAAAGATTTTCCATCTTCTCCGTGGATAATTTTATTCCCGTAATGGCTGAGAAGATGAAGAACACGGCATCTGACAATCTTTTTTATTAGCTGTTGCTTTTATATAATTCTGCTTTCATTTGTTGAATACTCTCAGACCTTGACATTTTCAGCTTCTGTACACACAGCTTAAGGGCCTTCCAATCAGCAGGCTCCTTTCTTTTCTTTTTTTTCCCCCATTTCCTCTTAAGTTTAGAAATTGATGGTGGAAGCCTGTTTAGGGGGAAACTTGGAACAGCTGCTGAATCATCCTTGACCACCCAAAATAGTTGGGAGTGTGGCCAGGGGCCAGAAAAGATTGGAATGGGGAACACAGAGGCCTGGGATTGTGGAGGTGCCATGCTTCGTGCACCAGCCTCTCAGCTGGAACCCTGCTGCCCTTCTGCCTGTAGGACACTGTTTCTGAGTGCTGGCCCATTGTGATCGGCAGGGAAATCCTGTGCAGAATCCAGACTCATTTTCAAGGGGAGGAGACATCTTGACCCCTTTATACCACAGTATTTATTCCCTAGATGATTATTCTTGAGTGTGGAAATCATATTTTGTAAGGCTCCTATGCTTTATAATCTTTCTGAGTAATTGTTCCTCACGCCCACACTGCAAGATCTAAGTGAGTGTTTTTCCTTTCATCACAGAGAGCAGTGAGCTGCTGGGGGCACTAGGGCCTAGTGAGGGTCTTATGGCACCTGGAAGCAAATCCCAGATGTGGTGTTGACACAGGCTGTGAAGCAGGGGCAGCATGTGTTCACAGTGGGCCTGGGCCCGCATGCAGCAATGTATCACTGCCTTCTGCAGCCATGCTGTCCCTCCTCATGTCTCAGTTTCCTTGTCTACAAAATGGGGGTATGATGGGGTCAGCACCCTGAGGTGCTGATGGGGTCATTAGAGGAGGTGATGCCTGGAAGGTGTTGGCATGTGCAGGTGCCTGGCAAGTGCTGGCTCCTCTCTGTAGTGTGCAGTGGTTATTGGCAATCCTCTTTCAAGTCCTAATGCTTCAGGTTTGGTTTAATGGGTGAATGTGTGTATACGTGCACAGATGTATGTGTGCTGAGATGGATATTATCATTAGCGGTCGGATTGCTCTCTGGGATGTGGAAACCTCCTCTCCAGGCTTCACGGGGCTTTTCTTGGACACCTGCCATAGTGTCTGTCTGTCATTCAGTATGCAGAGGGGTAGAAGAGGGCTCTGTGCGAAGCAATATGGAAACCATGTGTGCTCACAACTGGGTGTTTCTCAGTGTTAGAGAACAGCGCCATCTTCCATTTCAGTATGTTGGGCGTAGGGTCCAGAAGGTGAAGCTGTCTACCACCTTGACTGTCAGAGCTGTGGCTGCTGAACCTTTTGCCATCCTCACTGGCCTCCCAGAGCCTTTGCTCAGCTGCCCTTTGTGTTTTCCTGTAGGAAACAAAAGAACTGGGAGTGGGCCTCTCCAGCGCTCCCCCTGGATTCAGTTATCTTTCTGCTAAGGGTGACTTGTGCCCCGCCTGAACCAGCACATCTTCTGTCTTATGGTGGAAGCCTGGGGGCCAGCTGGCTCTGAACCCAGCAGCCATTAAGCTGACCACTCTGGCTGGCCAAGAGTGTGTCTTCTGCCCTCAGCCATGGGGCCAGGTCAGGGAGGTGGTGGGGAACAAGCCAGTCATAGAGTCCTAGGCCAGCCCTCGATAATTTACCAGCCTTCTGATTCTGAACAAATAGTTTAAGTTCCAAGGCTTCAGCTGTCTTATCTTTGAAACAGGAATTTTAAGACTAACCTACCAGTCCTTTGGAGGATGAGTGGTCATTAGTGTATGAGTATCTGATGTAGGAGTTTTCAGTTTCATGTCATTTCCATCCTTTTCCTTTTCTTTAATAAATGCATAGCCATTTATTAATTCCAAATTCATTTAATTCTGCTAAGTGCACAGAGATGGTTCTGACAGTTGTGATTCCTACCTTAGGGAATTCACAGCACAGTTTGGGAGGGGAAGGAGATGTGAGGAATGGGAGGGGAAGGAGATGTGAGGAATGGGATCCCAGGTAGGAAGATGCCTGAGTGCCACCTTCCTGCCAGCAGACCTGCCAGCCCTGTAAAAATGGTCTCACTTTTCCCAAACTCAGCAACTACAACGTGAGGAGTGCATTTTGGGTGTGTAGCTTCACAGACTGGAGGCAGGGAGAAAGGGAGAACCTGAGAAATATGTGTGTTCTTCCTGGATCTCAGGCTCTTTCCCCCAGAATGTAAATCTCTGTTCCTGCCCCTGTTGGATGCATATGCCATCCCAACATTGATATGTGAACAGTCAGCCCTTTTCTTGTTTTTTTCTCTTTGCTTCTACTCTGGCTTTCTTTTTTTAAGGAACAACTGTCATGTGATCCTGCCAAGCCTGCAGCTTTCTCAGTGACAGCACTAAACAGCCCCCTGCCTGGTGTCCCTGGGGGTGTCAGTCGGAGTCTGTTTAGGAAAATAGGAGCTGCTCTATGACGCAGAGGAAGAGGAGTTAAATGTGGAGGATTCTGCTTTACAAAGAGAAGGTAGCCCACTGGTCAGGAACACATGGAAAGGGCCTGGCCTCACACATGTCGAGGAAATACAGTTGCAGCCATAAGGCAGCACCATATGTACTCAGTAGAATGGGTGATGTGGGAGCAGTGGACACTGCCAGGTGCTGGCAAGGCTGTGGTTAGCCCAGGCCCTCCATACTGCTGGCAGGGAGGTAAATTGGTGAAGCCACCATAGAAAACTGTTACCCATTGTCTGTTAAAGCTGAACACAGGCTTACCCTATGACTTGGCAATTCTGTGCCCAACAGAAATGTGTCCATAGGTTCACTGAAAAACCAAACAAAAACTGTAGAATGTTCCCTGCAGGATCATTCACAATCACCCCCAACTGTCAACAGGGGAATAGATAAATCACAGTAGTCGTTACTGTGGAGGCCCAGTCGGGCATGAGAATGAACTGGTTGTGGCCACAGGCAGCAATATTGGTGACTCACATCAACAGAACACTACACAGAAGGGCCAGCCATAGAATACATATACATTGCATGGATGTTGTATTACATGAAGTTTGAACACAGTGGAACTGATCTGTGGTGTTAGGAAGTGGGATAATTGCTACCATTGGGGGAAGTAATGAGGAAGAGAATATGTGGGGAGTGGGGGGTTGTAGGGCAGGGTAAAACTCCCTTTCTTGATGTGGATGCTAGTT